CCCTATCTTCCCCCCTCTCTCTCCAAAAATAAAAAAAAAAAAAAAATCCCAGAAATCAGTGAGGGCAGGAAGAGACACCCACAGTGCCCCCATTCAACTAGCTTCCCACCTTGCATAATTCGGTGCCTCCTACTTGTCACCTGAGCCCCCTCACCCCGGCTGGACTGGGCGGGAAACGAGGCGAAAAGTGCACCCTGTCCGCCCCTGCGCCGCGCCCCACGCTGTCCTGGGTCTGGAGCGCTGGTGCGTCTCCCAGCTCCTGTCCCCGACTTACCTGTGGGAAGGCTCGAAGAGCCTCCAGGAGCCACAGTGCCAGCGCGGCGTGGAGGGCGTGCATCCCGGGGGGCGGGCGGGCGCTGGGTTGGCAGCCAGCGCCCACCTGGAAAGCCTGGGAAGCGCGCGGCGCCCACTTGCGGTGCGGGAGGTTCCGAGCCTGCGCGCGCTAACCGGGCGCCAGGCACACTCTCTCCGCCAACACTTCGCCGGCACCCAACCGCACGCGGTGAAGTCACTTCAAAAGTGGCTGGGCCCTCCCCCTCAACCCTAATTCTAAGCTTCCCCTCCACTCCAGGCACATTGACTACCCGGAACTGTTTCCAGGAACGCTGCTGCTACTAGCAAAGAAAAAAGGGGCGCAAACACGTGTAGAGATGACTCAGGACAAGCCACACGAGGGCCACGGACACTCCCAGTTTGCTGTTTGAATGGCCCGCCCAGGCTGCCTGCCCAAGCTTGGCTGAAAGGGGAAGGCTAGCAGCTCCTGGCCCTGGAGGTGGAGACACAGGAGAAAGGGAGGCCCCAAAGGGATGCAAACGCCCTCACCCCTTTCTGGTGGAAAGGTGAGACATAAGCAGTTTCCAGTCCCTGACACCGTGATTAACTCCCACCGTCAGATTCTTTGGAATGGAGCTGGAGTCAAGGAACTGCAGAGAAAGCAACTCACCACCATCCATAAATAATTTGATGAAAACAATCAGTGAATGGATAATGAATGCATGGGCAGATAGATGGGTGATTACATGGATGGCTGGGAGGATGGATGGGGTGGGGGGTGGGTGGGAGGATCAAAGGGAGGGAGGATGGACTGACTGCTGGACGGATGGAAGGACAGAGCGGAGCCTTTGGTTCTCCTGACCCAGACTTCTGAGGGGTTTCTGCCTGCAGGAGACAGCTGGAGCTCTTATCTAATTGAAGGAGACAATACAAGCCTCATTCTAATGAGGTTCTTATGTGCAAACTTCCTTCCCATGAACTCCATCCCAAGGGAATTACCTTTGTTCTTTTCACTCCACATTCAGCACAGTACGTATTGACTAGATACCTGCTGGGTAGACCACAGGTCAAGGGTTCTTTATTTAAAAAAAAAAAAAAGTTTTTTTGTTATAGGGTGCATGCGCTTGCCAGAAAGAAAGAGACAGAGGGACAAAAAACGAGAAATCACCCCCCGGGGGAATGGCCATGCCGCAATCCCTTCTCCTCCATTCTCCTTTCGGGATCTTGGGCATGCACGCACACGCGCCTGGCATGAGTTTAAGCCACTGGGTCCGGGACTCGAATCGCGGTCTACTACCTGGGAGTTCAGCGACATAGTCATTACGCTAACTGCTTGTTCCAGGTCAAGGGTTCTTTAGCCTAACATTTATTTTTTGAAACAAAACATGGGTGCTCAGACAAGCTCAGAAACAGTCAAAATGGTCCTACGTCCTTCGATGAAAGATGTTCAGTTATTTTTCCTGAGACCAGAATGGCCCAAGGACCCTCCAGCTTCCACACCAGTCTGTCTTGCAGGTGCCAGGCCTCCGTCTGGCAGAGGTCCCCACAGGTGGGAACAGTAACTTCTCACCAGGACCTTCCTAACAAAGTCTCCACGACTGATTATCCCATCCCCAGTGCCCCTTGAATTCCTGGATGCCATTTGGAAAAACTGCTTCTCTTCTGATCCCTCTCAAGAGACCCACTTCTGGACTCTTTCCTCGATGTGTCAAGGCCAGCGTCCTGGGCTGTTTGAGCTGAGACTATGTTAACGTGAAGTACACAAGTACGGAAGCTACCTGCTGGTGATCTTCCCAGAACTAGACAGACAGAAAGAGCTCAGGATGCCTGTTTCCCAGTCCAGAGCTTTCTACTGCAGAAGAGCTGGTGTTTTGATTAAATAAATGTTTGTCACATACACATACAAAACATTGAAACACCTGACACAACCGGAAACATAAAAAATCAAGTACAGGGACCAGCAGTTGGCGTAATGGCTATGTCGCTGGACTCCCACATAGTCAACCACAGTTCGAGTCCCGGACCCGGTGGCTTAAATTCACGCCGGGCACGTGTGCGTGTGTGTCCAAGATCCCGAGAGGAGAATGGAGGAGAAGGGATTGTGGCGTGGCCATCCCCCCTAGGAGGTGATTTCTCGCTTTCTATCTCTCTGTCTCTCTCTGTCTTTCTGGTGAGCGCACACACCCTATGGCAAAAACCTCTGAAAAAAATTTTTTTAAAAATCAAGTACAAGTTTTGCGAGTTCAAACTTTCCATTAATCAAAGATATGCAAATTAAAGCAACATTTGATACTCTTTTAGAACTATTAAATTATCAGGCCATTTTTCTTTGTTGTTCTTGCCAATTTTAGTAAAATCCAACCCCCAGAGTTGTGGTGAAACTGGAATATTCAGTTATGCTCTGCTAGTAAATGATGCAACCCTTTTCAGAAAACAATATGGCAATTTTTAGCTAAAGGAAAATAAAAGTTTACTATTTGTGGCTGAATAATTTCAACCCAGTGAAAAAAAAAATAAGAAAGTAGTTGAAGTGAAAGCAGAAAAAAAAAAACTATTAACACAGTAATATTTCCTAAAGCATTATTTGTGAGTTTTGGGAATACCCTAAGAGTCACAATAGGAAGTAGTTAAAGAAATTGTGGTATTGGGACCAGCAGTTAGCATAATGGCTATGTCGCTGAACTCCCATGTAGCCGACCACAATTCTTGGACCCGGTAGCTTTAACTCACGCCGAGCATGTGCGCGTGCGTGCCCTAGATCCCGAGAGGAGAATGGAGAAGAAGGGATTGCGGTGTGGCCGCCCCCTCTGGGGAGTAATTTCTCACTTTTTGTCTCTCTGTCTCTCTCTTTCTGGCGAGCGCACACGCTCTATAGCAAAAATCTCTCAAAATAATAACAATAGAGATGTTGTGGAAAACTTTCTCCCCCCTCCCCATCTTTCTCATCCATAGGCTTTATTTTATTTCATTTTTTAAGATTTTTTGCTTTAGGGCATATACACTGGAAAGAGACAGAGACAGAAAGTGAGCACTCGCCCCCATCCCTGGGGGGGAGGGGGGAATGGCCATGCTGCAATCCCTTCTCCTCCATTCTTCTCTCAGGATCTTGGGCACATATACACAGGCACCTGGCGTGAGTTTTAAGCCACTGGGTCTGGGACTCGAACCATAGTCAACTACATGGGAGTCCAGTGACGTAACCATCACACCATCTGCTGGCCCCCCGTCCATGGGTTTTGAAAGGAACCCTTGGAATATTCACATCTCACCAAGCCACTCCACATAAAAGCCCTTTGGAGCTACAGCATGTGGGGCAAGGACCCAGTCACCTAGACTTAGATTACTATAAGTGGTGATAACGATTGCTCCGAGTGCTTAACTTTGCTCTGAGCTTTCTTGAATCCTCACCGAAAAGATGCTCTTTTTGTGCCCATTCTGCAGATAAGGAACTGCGGCACAGCGTAGTGTATCCACCAGGCCAGGGTCACTCAGACGCCATGGTGCTCAAGGCCATTCACAGCCTGCCCGGGACCAGCATCTCCCGGATCTATGCTCAGCCAAACATGCCACACCCCCTCACCCGCACTCCTCTGCCCGCGCTGGTCCCCACTTGCAATGCACAGCACACTCTTATTTAGCTTCCCAGCCTGCTCCACCATCACGTCCTCTTTGCTACTTTCCTGGCACTGTCCCCTGCCCCTGAGGTAGGTTCCCAGTCAGAGGCGGTTTCTGTCGTTTTTTGGTACCTCAATTCTAGAGTTGATCTCATTGTATCATAACTGTAATGACTGGTCCGTGTAGCCATCTGACCCAGGAAGCTGTGGGCTCTCAGAGAACCAGGAGCCTAGGACAGGCTCGCTCCCCTGGCACATGGCTAGCCAGCTGGAGAGAACGCACATCCTGGGAAGTCCTGTGGCCAGGGAGTGGGCTGAGCCCCAGAGGGAAGCTGGCAGCAGCCGAGGAAAACAGCCACTCACTCATGGGACTCTAACTAGAGGCAGTGGACAGAGTGCCTGGGCCCGGGGCAGGTTTTGGCATCCTAAGCACCCCTCCATTGCCACCAACAACAACCAAGGCATGCAAAAATGCTTTGAAGAGCAGGCGGGGAAGTCCCTAGGCTCCTGGGGAGGCATGGCAGCAGGCCTTCTGTGGGTGGCCGGGGCCCCACCAAGCCAGATCCTGAGGAAGCCAAGCCCCTGGCACAGGCCAGGGAGCAGCTTCAGAGGAAGAGAATGGAGGGTCAGTGCAGCAAGAAGTCCTTCAAAGGGACCCAGACCCATGTCACCGAAGTGATGCTAAGCCACACTCAGGCCCCTACAGGAAATTCAGGGAGTTCCCCAACAGCTGGGAACATCAGCCCCAAATGGCCCCAAAATACCCTCGGCAGATAAAGGGATTCTTTCCACAGCAGGCAGCAGCAGGCAGGTGGGAGGCTGAAAACCAGAGGGGGAATTTGGACCTTTCTTTTCTGAGGGATCCAAGTTCTTCCCCAAGTGTCTTTTCCTGGGAGCCTTGGAAACAGGATTCCCATGAGGGGCTTCTCTGCATTGCCCTTGACTGAGTGGGGGCCGGTCAGCAGCACCTGCAGGTCAGGCTGCCTCCAGTCCAAGCCCACCGAGCTCCCTGCCCTCGTGAGGCCCAGGACACCACACGGGACCTGGGGATCAACTCTGGCTCCTCAGGGAGAGATTAGAAGCGGCTGCTGAAGGCTAGGGTGGGCAGTCAGGAGTTCATTCCTTGGAGCTGATCCCAGCTGCCCCTACTGAACCCCAGCAGCAGATGCCCACAAGCAGGATCCCCAAGACCAGGCAGACCAAGCACTCACTGCCTAGCCTGGGAGGAACCAAGTCTGGGGGAACCACCTTCCCCGGTTGGGAGTGTCCCTTCCTGTGAGGGCCCTTGCTGCTCTTGGACACTTTGCAGTAACAGTAGCAGTGTCATTCACTGAGCACCTCTGTGACACCCACGTCAGGCCCATGACTAGACATTTAAATTGGTACCAGAATTTCCACTCAGTGTTGTTATTCCCACTTTATAAATGAACAACTGAGGCTCAGAGTAGTTAAGTAACTTGCTTGAGATGGCAGAGCTGGGGTTTGTCTGTAACCCCACCTGCCTTCCAGCATCGGCTGCCTTTCTTTCCCAGGCCCCTCTTGCCCCACGTTCCCTGGAGGGTGAGCACCAGTGTGGGGATCCTGGTC